AATATAATGTTTGAAAAGTCACAATCATAACATTTTTTCATAATTTTATCATTAAAAAAATTTTTTATTTATAATTCAAATTATATTAAATTATAAAATATTAAATTCTTCTCTAATTTAATATTTTAATATATGATTTATATTATATAATATTTTTATAAAAAATAAAAACAAAAAGTTAATACTACTACAACTTTACTTGATTAATTTTTGTTGTCTTATTTTAATTTTTTTTACTTTTTAAATGTTTAATTTTATATAAAAATTTAATAAACTATAGGCATGAGAATCAAAATTAAAAATTAACATATAAAATTTAATGCAAAGAATATGAATGATAATTAAAAAATTAATATTTAAAAAGTTAATCTAATACAGTTAAATGAGTGTGCATTTTCTTTTAAAATGCTAGTACAATAATTCGTGCCAATTTTACATTTAATGCATGAGAACTCAAGCCTGGGTAATATTCTCCCCAACTGTAAGGTTTTGATAGATGCATTTTTCATCTCGCCGTGCTCAACACGGCGGACGCAGTGGTAATGCCGTGGCTCATGAACTCGCAAGGAGAGCCTTACATGCCGAGGATGATGAAATGGAATTCTCGATTGACGGAGTCCTCGGTCATGTTGCGCGTCTTTGTAACAGGAGATAAGCATTTTTTTTGTACCTTTGTATCTCATCTTGTTTTATATTAATAAAATATGCACAATTCCAATCAAAGGTTTTTTTTTTTTTTTTTTAAATCCTCAATTTGATTTATCTACTTTAGTATAATAGTTTTTTTTGTCCTTTTATTCAAAAAAATTCCCTTTTAGTCTTTAAATTTCGAAATTCGATCTTTTTTTAGTTCCTCTATTAAGTTCTACATATATGACACAGTAAATGATAAAAATTTTAAAGTAGAAGAATAAAAAAGGTCTAAAAAGAATCTAAAAATAGCCTTAATTTGGTTCTTTTATTTTTAAAAAAAATCTTTTTTTTTGGTTTTTTTTCTTTGAAATTTGTATTATCTAATATCAAAACTTAACAGAGAGATTAAAAAGGAATCAGATTTCAAACTTTAGAAACTAAAAAGAGATTTTTTTAAATAAAGGAACTAAAAAAGATTTTTCACCAGAGTAAAAGAACCAAATTGAGATTTTAATTTTTTTTTATAATGGGGTAACCTTTCATCTTTTGACTTTGACTGCACTTTGATTAAGGATGGCAACGGGTTCCCATGGGGGCAGGGACATCCTCTCTCTCCCCATCCCCATCCCCATCCCCATCCCCATCCCCATCCCCATCAATGACGAGTACAGGGATCTCCACAAGGATTTTTAGTGAAGAATCAAAAATAACCTCCATCTCCATACCGCGGGGAATATTAGGCCCCCGTAGGTATTCAGAATCCCCACCAAATAAAACTATCACCTGCTTCACTACTTGTTAATCAAAATTAAGTTCAACATAGGTCTACTTAGACTCCATTAGTTTTCACATTCATCAAATAAAACTAGCTCAAATAATCATATAAAGTAAAAATTTGAAACAAGACAAACAAGCAATAAATGTACACAGCCAATATATACATGTTAAGTAGGTCTAGCAAGTCAGCAACAAGTTCATAAAGAAAAAAAGGCATAAACTACCATATAAGTCCAGCAAATCTAGCAAAAGGTTCATAAAAAAAGGGGCATAAACTACAACTGTCAAATATGTCTAGATTCAGCAAAGTTTATAGAAAAAAATGCATAAACTACTACCATAGATGTCCCGCAATAAGTTCATTAAGAAAATGGGCATAAAAGAGTCTAGTAAGTGGCACATGTGTACACATCCATCCAATCTAGTAAGGCAAACTCTGTATCAGCAACTTAAACTAAGCTTGATCAATAATTTCAAGTTGAAGAAATAACTTCCTGAAACAAAAACAAGTACCCCAAGTTAACAAAATTTCAGAAAAAAATTCTTTATATCAGATTGAAGAATAGAAACAAAGTTATGGGCACGACCTTTCGAAGGTTGTCGAGATGATAGGGTAAAGGGAATTTTGATCGATTGAAGAACAGAAACAAAGCTAGTGAGTTACAATGCAGTCTGTGTAGAGAAGAAGAGACTGGAGTCTGGAGAGGAGGAAGAATCGTAGTTCACAAATTTGCAGATTTGAAATCTATCTATGGGTAGTAGTCCTTCTAGTTCTAGGGTTACTACTTACTAATGCAAATTGGGTTGGGCCCAGGCAATTAAGTTTAGGAAGACTCTAGGCTGGACTACACTATATAATTGAGTTTGAAAAAACTAAAAAAAGAATGGATTAGTCAGTTAATTAGGTTGAGTAAGTAAAAATTAATTGTTAATATATTTAAAA